GAGTTCCTACTCTTTAGTGCTCAGCACTTCCGTTTCTTCCTCCAGGAAGGCCTCGCTTTCTGCCCAGTTGGACCACCCACTCCCCCGTGTGGCTAGGGCTGAGGGCTTGTCTCCTGTCGGGGTTATGCCTGCCCCCAGCAGGGACCCATGTGCTCACTATAGTAGCCCAGGGCCTGGCACTGCAGTGCTGGGAATACCCGGGGAAGGGAAAGGGGAAGGGCAGCTCCAGGGCTGGGCTTTTGGTTAGAATGGCTCTCCTTTCAAACTGCTTTTCCACCTCTTCCTACTTCCCCAGAGGGAGCCTGGGAGGGAGAGGCCTGAGAGAGGAGTGGGCACTTTGTCACCTGCAGGGACTGGGGACTGGGCTTCCTTATCAGCCTGTGGCCCTGGGTGAGGCTCCTGTCCTTTGGGGCTGGGCTCTTCCTGCTCACGCTGGCTTTGCCCTGGAGGCCTGGAAATGCAGAGCCTCCTTGGGAGGAAGCCTAAGTGCCTAGCCTTCTGCTGCTTACCTCGCTGCCCTGAGTCTCAGGTTTAGGACAGACTAGGTGCCCCTAAACCTGGGTGACACCACCTCAGAGAGCTCACGGTCTCCTTCTTTTGCAAAGCCCCATGTGCCTCCCTCAGCCCTTCAACTCTTGTAAGGGCCAAGACTATAGAGAGAGATTGCCTCCCAGGGGACACCCCCCCCCAGGGAGGTGCAGTGGAGCATGTGGCCACAGAGAAGCAGAGGTCCTGCTGCTGACCAGGCCAAGTGGCCAGCTGGGCAACCTCCAAGTTTTCTGTCCTCTCTCATCTCCCCAGTCTCTGACTGGTCCCAGGTACGCACTTCCTAACACCTTCCTGTGCTAAATCCTAGCTCTGTCCCTGTGTGACCTCAGGCAAGTACCTGACCCTCTCTGGGCCTCATCTGCCTTATTCTATAGAACAAAGCCATTGGAGGCTAGAGTGAGGGCACATGGTCAAGCACTGGCCCCAGTGAATGCTTCTCACAGCAGGCAGAAGAGAGGTCTGGGGGCCCCTGAGGAGGCAGGGGAGGAGGATGGTATAGCCATTGTTGCAGTATGGGGACTCCAGGATGCTCTGGGTTGAAGACACCCCAGCTGGGCAGTGTGGAACACCCACTGCTTCCTTCAGCAAAGCCAGGCCTTGGAATTGGCCCAAGGCGCAAGTTGGATATGGCCTTTTGGACATCCCAGCTGCCCAGGTGTGACAGAGCATCCCTGGACGGAAGGGGGAAGGAAGAGGCTCCAAGTTTTCTATCATTGCAGTCTGCTGGGACAGAGAGGGGTCGTACATACCCCTGTCTTTGAGGTTCACTTCTGTGGAGTCGTAATTACCGACGGTAAGATGCACCCGTTGTAAGTGTACGCTGTGTGAAGTAGCCTGTCACCGCTCAGATACAGCAAATCCTCATCCTCTCCCAGAGTCCCCTGGCCCTTGTAATCAGCACACCCGCCCTGACAACTCGTGACGCTGAGCAGCTTCCCTGTGCTCATTTCCCAAACACATATGCTCTCAGGCCAAGTGTCTGTCCAGCTCATTGCCTACTTTTGTAATGTGTAATTGCCTTGTTCATTTTATTACTAAGGTCTTTTTATTTATTTTTATTTATTTATTTATTTTTTTGCTATAGGGTGCATGCGCTCGCCATAAAGACAGAGAGAGACATAGAGACAGGAAGCGAGAAATCACCTCCCAGGGGGGGATGGCCACACCGTAATCGCTTCTCCTCCTTTCTCCTCTTGGGATCTTGGGCACGCACACACATGTGCCCGGTGTGAGTTTAAGCCACTGGGTCCAGGACTCGAACCACGGTCAACTACGTGGGAGTCCAGCGACATAGCCATTACGCTAACTGCTGGTCCCCCCCCCCTTTTTTTAAAATAATTATTTTATTTACGGTTTACAACATTGAAAATGAGTTTTCCCAGCATGAGTACCCTGTATGTTAGTCTAGTCAAAGTACCGAATCTGGGGCCTTAAACTCATGCCGGGCGCATGTGCATGCATGCCCAAGATCCCAAGAGGAGAATGGAGGAAAAGAGATTACGGTGTGGCCATCCCCCCTGGGGGATGATTTCTTGCTTTCTGTCTCTCTGTCTCTGTCTGTCTGGCGAGCGCACGTGCCCTATAGCAAAAAAGTGCCCTATATCTCCAAAAGAATTATTTAATTTTATTCATCGTCATTATGTTATTTTATATTTTTGAAGTTGACCAGAGAGAGACAGAGAGAAGGAAAGTGAGAAACTGAGCTGCCAGGTCTGGGACTCGGACTTGAACCACAGTCAGCCATGTGGGAGTCCAGCCACCTTAACCACCACACCATTTGCGGCCACACCGCAATCTCTTCTCCTCCATTCTCCTCTTGGAATCCTGGGCACACACACGCACACACCTGGCATGAGTTTAAGCCACCAGGTCCAGGACTCAAACTGTGGTCGACTACATGGGAGTCCAGCGACATAGTCATTACGCTAACTGCTGGTTCTCAAGAAAAATATTTATTACAAAAAGAAAAGAGAAAAAGGACCAAGCTGAAGCTCTAATGCCGCCTGTTTTCAGAATTTATTAGAAAATTGTAGTTATCAACTGTGGCATGGACATGAAAATAGATCAATGGAGCAGAGGAGAGAGTCTAAAAATAACTCCCACACACGCACAGCTATTGACAAAAAAGCAAAGACAATTCAGTAGAAGAAAAAAAAAACATTTTTTCCCCTCACCACAGACAAAATGCGACTCCAAATGCATCATAGTGGTAAATGTAAAACCTAGCCATAAATTAGCTAAAAGGAAAATCTTTGTGACCTTGGGTTAGGCCAAGACCATTGAGGTACAACACCAAAAGCAAAATCCATTAAAGAAAGAGAGAGAAAGCGAGAAACTGGCTTCCTCAGGATAATAAGCCAAAAACCTGCTCGCTGAAAGGCACTGTTGAAGGATGAAAGTATTTATCAATCATATATATGTCTCGAGTTGGTATACAAAGTATGGAAAGAACTATTAAAACGTAAGGACCAGCAGTTGGCGTAATGGCTATGTCGCTGGACTCCCATGTAGTCGACCACAGTTCGAGTCCTGGACCTGGTGGCTTAAACTCATGCCGGGTGTGTGAGTGTGTGTGTGTGCCCAGGATTCCAAGAGGAGAATGGAGGAGAAGAGATTGCAGTGTGGCCATCTCCCTGGGGAGGGGTGGGGATGGAGTGAATTGTCACTTTCTTTCTCTCTGTCTCTGTCTTTCTGGGGGGTGCATGTACCCTATAGCAAAAACCTTCCCCCCCAAAAACTATTAAAACTTAGTAATAGGGAACCAGCAGTTAGCGTAACGGCTATGTCGCTGGACTCCCACGTAGTCTACTGCAGTTCGCATCCTGGACCCGGTGGCTTAGAACTCACGCCAGGCGCGTGTGCATGTGTGCCCAAGATCCTGAGAGGAGAATGGAGGAGAAGGGATTGTGGCGTGACCATCCCCCCTGGGGGGGTGATTTCTCACTTTCTGTCTCTATGTCTCTCTCTGTCTGTCTGGCGAGCGCACGTGCCCTATAGCAAAAACCTCTCCCCCGCAAAATTAAAATAAATAAATAAATAAATATTTTTCTTTATTCGCGGTAGAGTGCGTGCACATGCATGTGAAAGAAGGAGGGAGAAAAAGAGAGATCGAAGAGCATATCCATAGGACCTGGTCACACCACAATCCAGAAAGATTCTTCTCTTCAGGATGCTTTTTGGCCCTCCCTGCCCCCTTTGCGTAGTTATTCTGATGGGATGAACAAAATGTGGGGGGGATTACAAAGGGTTTCCATGCGCTGCCCGCCTACCCACGGCCCCGATTTGATGAGCTTCGCCCTCTGCAGAGCTCACTGCCATATTCCAGTATGGAAAATTTCAGACGGACGCAGAGGTGGACACGATTGCACCACACCACTCATGAGCCCTCCACTTACAGCATTCTGCCCCGTTTGCTTCAGCTACCTATGCACAGGTTTTTTATTATTTATTTATTTATTTATTTATTTTTCTGAAACATTTTTTAAAATTAATTAATTTACATTCATTCCCTAAGCATCATCACGGCATACAGAATGTGATTTCTCATCCAGAACAGATTTTTTAAAAATAATTATTTTAACTTTATTTATTCATTTAAATTTGACCAGAGAGTAACAGAGAGAGAGGGTGGGAAAGTGAGAAAGCAAGCCACCAGGTGTGGGACTCGAGCCATGCTCGGCCATGTGGGAGTCCGGCACCCTTAACCACCACGCCATCTGCCGGCCCCAATTTTTGTGGAAGCTTCTTGAGTAACCTCTAAAGTAAATGCGACATTGCGGTGCGAAGTCCCCAAATATGGCGGCATGCAAGGTCAGGCCACAGAGCCACTGTCACAACTAACAAATTCGCAATGGCCATGAGCAGTCGTCTAATACATTGTCCATCATTAGGAATCTTCCATGGCGAAGGTTTGTCCAGCCAGGGGCCGTGCATTACGATGGTCGTCAGGTCTCTCAGAATCTTCTCTCAGTTGGATGATTCTTGTGCTCAGATCTCCCCCAGGACAGGTGCCCTGAGAGTCGCATGTCCCTGCTTGGGGTCTTCTGGGATGCTGTGCTGGTACAGCTCCAGCCACCCTCGGGGGTGGGCTCCTGGAGGGCAGGAGGACTCTCGGAGGGAAGGTCACCTTCTCAGAGTCCAGCCCCAGCATGAGGCCTGTGCAGACCAGCTCCAGCAATGCCTGGGGTGTCTGAGGAGAGCTTTGTCTGCATCATGGGGTAGTTGGGATGGCCAGGTAGGTTACCCATCTGTGGGCACAGGCCCTGCTCTGAGCTTCGTGAGCTTCAGGGGTCTCCTTTGCAGCCTCCCAATGCATAGACAGGGGTAGAGGCTCCCAGTCGGGACCCCTGTGACCCTAGTCCCTTGCTCCGTCCACATGCCTGGGTGAGTCTCCCTGAAGTCCAACCCTCAGGCCTCTGGGCTGAGCCCTCACACGTGTGTTCTCCTTCCAGATCCCGACTGGGCGTCCTACACCCTGGGAGTATTCATCTGCCTGAGCTGCTCTGGAATCCACCGGAACATCCCCCAGGTCAGCAAGGTGAAGTCGGTCCGCCTGGACACCTGGGATGAGGCCCAAGTGGAGGTATGGCCCCGAGCGGGAGGCAGGGGCATGGAGGTTGGGTGGAGACCCTAGGCAGCCTGCTGCCTTGCTCTGGGTGACTCTGGCCCTGGCCTCTCTGAACTGTGGACACCTCAAATGTCCCTTCAGCCTTGAAGCTCCAGGCAGCCTAGGTGTGGCCTCCAAGGACCCCACTGTCCAAAGGGCTTGGGTGTGCCAGGATCTGAGGCTGAGGGGAGGTCAAGGACAGCTGGCAGGACCTCAACCCCTTTCCAGCAGCTTCTCCTATGTAGTCACCCCAGCTGTCCCTCCATCTGACTCCCTCTTGGGCAACTGCACTCTATGCACAAGTGCAAGAATACACGTTTGTTGAGTGACTGAGTGAGTGAATGAGTGAATGGAGAAGACTGCTGACTTCCCCTGGAAGCTCCTGGGCCTTTGGTCCTTGAACCCCAACCCTTGTAATACCCAGTTGTTCAGGGAACTGGCTGTGCAGCTCCCTTGTTTTTAGGGTTTTATAGCTAATGTGGGAAGTCACAAGGGGTGACAAAAGTCAAGCCAGTGATTCGAGCATTCATTCATTTATTCATTAATTAATTCATCTGACAAATGTTTATTGAGCACTTACTATGTGCTAGGTATGGAGGGCCAAACAAGACAGACCAGTTGCTGTCTCCTGGAGGCAGGTGGTGAACAGACACCCAGGGTAGGGACCTAGGCTTGGGGAGAGCATTCTAGAACAAGATGGGGCCTGAAATCTGATTGAGGGGCTCACACTAAGCCCCCCTGATGGGAGGCTCTGGGAAGAGGTGCTCAGAGCAACAGATCCGAGTTACCTGTTGAAAGCCCTCCAGCTGCCGGTGGTTGGGTGGTAGAGACCAGGCTGGGAGGCTATGTGGCTGTCCGGTGAGAGCAGAGGCTGCTGTGGGATGGGGAGGGTCTTAGCTGTTGCCTCACATGCACTTTCTCCCCCAACTCCAGTGGCATTTCCTCACACTGCACCCCACCTGGGAGTAACGAGTTGGCTTCTCAGGCACATAGCCTTGGTAGTCAGCTTCACCGAATCTCCAGGAACATCTGCTCTCGGGACTCCCTGGGGCTGAACCTCCCTGAAACTTTCATCAGCCCCGATGCAGCTGACCAACCTAATCAAAGTCTGCATTTAACAAGGCAGCCCCTGTGCCCCTGCAGTGGAGGATGCCCCCTTCTCTGTGAAGGCCCACCCACCTTGGGCTCCCTGCTGGGGGCCCTCCTTCGTGGACCCTGAGGTGGACATTTGGTTTACAATGACGATCCCTTGTCAGGCAGTTGTCCTGTCTGAGCCTCAGTTTCCCTCTCAAGAAAGTGGGCAGGATGGCCCCTAGACGGTTCCCTTCCTGGTGATGGGGGGACACAGGATCAAAGGCCAGTGTAATAAGATGATTAGGGTCCCATTTCCAAGTCACCCTTCCCACCCTCCTGGGAGGAAAGAGCTGGAGGGCCAGGGTGCCCAGATCTCTCGGGCTGGGGGCAAAGTCTGCCATTGGCCCAGTAACCCTGTGTTAGGCTAGTCCAGGGCAAAAGTGGCCAGGGCACACGGGCGGGCGTTCACTGCTGGTGCTGGGAATGCTCTCAGTGCAGCCAGTCAGCTGGAAGACGGAAGGCCAGCCTTGGCCTGTGGGTTCTGGAGAAAAACTCACAAGGTGTGAGACCATGTCAGGAGGAGCCCCAACCACATGCGTTCTCGGAGCACTTCAGTTTCTAACAGGGGGAGGCCTGAGAGGGCAGTGGGCTGGAAGGGCCAGGAGACTGCACTCCCTTACTGTGTGAGGTGACTCCCAGGCCCAGGGGCTTGGCCTACAGGGCAGCTACACCCAACAAGACAGAGGCTAGTTTCAACCTGGCTTCCTGCAATTCTTCAGCATCTATTGAGCCCCAAGGCTGAGGGTCAGCTAGGGAAATCCTTGATCCTGGCCTGGAGACGGGCCCCAGTGGGGACCACAACCCTGGGAGCTAAAGCCCACTCACCCGTAGAGTTCGCCCATTTCAAGTGCACAGTTCCTGGTCTTCAATGTGTTTGCAGAGCTGTGAAGCCATCACCACAGCCAATTTTAGCACATTTTCATCACCTCAAAGAGAAACCTGTGCCCTTTAGCCATCACCCCCTCCCCAGCTCTCCACAACCACGGCCCTGCTTTCTCTATAAATAGATTTGCCTCTTCTGGACATGTAACAAAAACGGAGTTGTACACTGTGTGGTCTCTGGTGACAACTTCCTTCACCGAGCAGCGTATCTACAGGGCTCGTCTGTGTTGTGGCGTGTGTTGGTGCTTTGTTCCTTTTTGTGACCAAGTAACATGGCCCGCACGCTTTGTTTCTCGTTCATCAGCCGATGGACGCGAGTTGTTTTCCACCTGGTTGAATGTGCTTAGATGATTCAGTAACACGCACACGGCACGCTTCCCATAGGTTCAATCCGAGTGCTGTGGACACAAACTCCCTCCTCTGTCTTCAGTCTCTTTATGCCCCCTCCTCCCCACCAGGCGACCAGGGGGCAGTGCTTTGTGCGTGTTTCTGAGAGATGCCCTTAGCCTATGCAAGTGTCTGTGGGTATTTGAACCAGCACAGAAGGACTCTTCTGGCTTCCTGTGTGTGCGCTGATGAACAATTTACCCATCCCCTCTGGATGAACACTCAGGTTGTTTCCAGTCCTTTCCTACTGACCACTGGGCCTGTGAACAGCCTCACAGAGGCATTGTTTTGCACGCATGGGAGTTTATTGGTAACCTAAAGTTCTAAAAGGGAAAGTGAAAGGTCAAAGGTTAGGTGGCTTGGTAATACTTGAGATTTTTGCCGAGCTGCTCCCCATAACTACTCACCCACCCCCAGCAAAACCTGTGAGTGTTCACCCACATCCCTGCCAACACTCGGGGCTGCACAGTGGTTTTGATTTTTTTGGCTGATCTGATTAGTGCACAGTTGTTCTCAGTGGAGTCTTAATCTAAAATGTCCTTATCTTGAATGAAACAAGGCATCTTGTGATATGTTTTAGAATTGTACTTGTTTTCCTGTCTGTGAACTATCTCTTCAGGCCTTTTGCCTTTTGCCTTTTGCCTGCCTGCCTTTCTTTTTTGGCTATATGGCACATGCACTCACCAGAGATAGGGAGGGAGAGAAAGTTAGAAATTGCCCCCCAGGGAGGATGGCCACGCCACAATCCCTTCTCCTCCATTCTCCTCTTGAGACTTTGGGCATGCACGCACATCCATCCGGTGTGTATTTTTAAGCCACTGAATTCAGGACTTTAACCGTGCAGTTGGCCCTGTGGATCCAGTGCCTTAACCACCACACCAGCTGCTGGCCCTTGCCTGCCTTCTATGACATCATTATCTTCTTCTTCAGGAGTTCTTGATATATTGGGAAATTAATCCTTTGAGACGCGCGGACTTCAAAAAGTTCATGGAAAACTGGTATTAACATATGAATTTATTTTGATACAAAAAAATTGAAATCTAGGCATAGTTTTATCATATTATGCATTTCCAACGAGCCTTTTGAAGGTCCCTTGCATTAGTTGAAAATGTTTTTTTTTAGGTTGCCCTTCAACTTTACTCATGGTGGTTTTTGCCATGGAAATTTTTTTTACTTTGATGTAGTCAAATTGATCAACCTTTTCTTTTGTGGTTTTAGGGTTTCTAGCATACTTAGATAGGCCTTCTCTGCCCAGGTTTTTTTTTTTTTTTTTAAAGAACAGTTGTATTCATTTACAATACAATTTCCCCTTTACAGCGTTCAATGTAGTTTTAGTATAATCACAGAGCCATGCAACCATCGCCGCTGTCTAATTTCAGAACATTTTCATATCCCCAAATAAAACCCCATACTCATTAACGTCACTGCCCACATCCCTGCTTCTACCACCTCCCAGCTCCTACAATAAGCACAGAGAGCGGCCTCCTTTTTAGATTTTACTTTTAAGTTTTTTCTTTTGGAGAGGTTCTTTTTTGCTATAGGGTGTGTGCGCTCGCCAGACAGATAGAAAGAGACATAGAGACAGAAAGCGAGAAATCACCCCTCAGGGGGGATGGTCACGCCACAATCCCTTCTCCTCCATTCTCCTCTCGGGATCTTGGGCATGCACACACACACACCCGGCGTGAGTTTTAAGCCACCGGGTCCGGGACGCGAACCGCGGTCGCCTACGTGGGAGTCCAGCGACATAGCCATTACGCTAACTGCTGGTTCCCTACTTTTAAGTTTTTACTAGAGGACAAGCTCACTAGGGAGAGACAGAGAAATGAAGAAGCACATGGGGCATGGCCACACTGCAGTCCCTTCTCTCCCACTTCTCACTCCTTTTAGGATTTGGGGCACACACGGACACATCCCCAGTGTGTTTCTCAAACTCCCAGGTCCAGGACTCAGACTGCGAAGTTGGTCATGTTGGATCTGGCCGCCTTAACCACCAGGCCATGGAACAGGCCAGAAAGATCTATTTTCTGTCTCTATGGACTTGCTTACTCTGGACATTTCCTAGAGATGGGATCATACAGTATGTGGCCTAGTAGGACTGACTTATCTCACTGGGCATAGGGTGTTCAAGGTTCATCCATGTTGTAGCATGTGTCAGTATTTTTTTTAATGACTTAATAATACTCCATTGTATGGATGGACCATGTTTATTTTCATTTTTTAAAAAGTATTTATTTATTGAGGGGCCAGCAGTTAGCATAATGGCTATGTCACTGGACTCCCACATAGTCGACCGCGGTTCGAGTCCCAGACCCGGTAGCGTAAACTCACGCCGGGCGCGTGTGCATGCATGCCCAAGATCCTGAGAGAATGGAGGAGAAGGGATTGCAGCATGGCCATCCCCCCTGGGGGGTAATTTTTTGCTTTCTGTCTCTCTGTTTCTCTCTGTCTTTCTGGCTAGCACACATGCCCTATAGCAAAAACCTCTCCCCCCCAAAAAAAATATATATTTATTTATTTATTTTCATTTGTTATTATTATTATTTTAATTTAACCAGAGAGATACATGCAGA